CTTAAGATGCTTGTCGATCCGTTGATGCCACATTATTGTGTTTGACATCATACCTGTGTCTATTGAATCTTTTATTTAATTTTTCCATTGTGCAACTTACATGTTTGGTCATTGGGCGGTGTATATTAAATGGAAATCAGTACAACTGCCATCCTTTGTAGGAATCGTAATTTTTCTCTTTGAATTTGTGATAGAATTAACTTGACTCGTGTTTTTGCACAACGAACACGGTTTTTCTCTTTTATGAGCGTTTTCGGGGGTACAACAACATATTGTCGAAATATTGTTTAACATTGTCTATTGTTTAACAATGTTTTTTTTTCCTTTTCTTTTCTTAAATCTCTTCTCTTAACTATTATTATTATTATTATTATTATTATTATTATTATTATTATTTCCTTTGATTTCTGGTGTGTATACATCTCGTTCCGGGTCCCGCCCAGAGACCTATGGTTAGAAATGGCGTCATGACATTTTTCACTGATCCACACACACAAAAAGAAAATATCTTACATAGATAAAGCACTTCGTAAGGTGTAGGCTGTATTTCTTTAAGGCATGGGCTTCCAAGAATCCCTTCAATGAGTCTACTGGAATCTTTTCCAACCAATCCGAGGGATCCAACTACAACAGTGATTATTGATGTTCCCATGTGTCAAATTTTTGAGATTTTGATTTCAAGGTCCTTATATTTTGATAGCTTTTAGGAGATCTTCAAAGACACATTGTAGTCCGCAAGGACTGCTATATCAATAAGGACGCACTTTTTTTATTTGCGGTCTCTAGTAACAATGTCTGGGCTGTTAGCTTTGATATTATTATTATTATTATTATTTCCTTTGATTTCTGGTGTATACACATTTCTTTCCGGGTCCCAACCAGAGACCTAAAGTCAGAAATGGCATCATGACATTTTTCCCTGAGCATTAACCCCCCCCCCGGCAAAAAAATAAATAAAATCATACACATTTTGTATCGATAAAACCCTTCAGTGATTCTATTGGAATCTTGATCTTCTCATGTGCCACTTTTTCGAGGTTTCGATTTCAAGGTTTTTGTACTTTGAATTCAAAGATACCTTACAGTCTGCAGGGACTGCCATGTCAATAAGAAGGCAGTGTGTTTTTGTGGTCTCTGATCACGATATCTGGGCGATTAGTTTTGATTTTTCTGTCTGTGTGTATTTAAAGTCCCATATTCTTCTTCTTCTTCTTCTATTATTATTATTATTATTATTATTATATTATTATTATTATTATTAGTAGTAGTAGTAGTAATATATTTTGTATTCTAGATATAAAATTTGGTGTCAGTAGATGTTTGTTAGTCTTTATCAACTTTAGAATATGTCTGTATATATGTGTAGTTTTGTGATAAAAACAAATTTGGCTTTTCCGACAAATATTCAAACGGTGCTGATAATTCTAGCGCGAACAACTCAGAGTATGGGAGTAGATAGCAATTGACATTACATTTTAATTTTTGAAGATTAAAATTGGCTGGAAAGCATGGAGCCGGAAGGGAGTTCCACAAATGAGACGTGCGAGAAAAGAACGTGTTAGCATAAAACGTGCAGTTACATCTCGCCAACTCAACTGTAAATTGATGACATCTCGTCGCCAGTGTAGTACCGCGTTTAAATTCATAAAGTCTAGGTACCGTAACGAAGAGGCCATCCGAACAATTAGCATGAAAGTATATATATATATATATATATAGAAAATGCATAAGGAGGCAACTTTACGGCAAGTCAGGACCAATAATATTTCTTATTCTTCTTTGGATTTTATCAAATAGTTAGAAATAGCATAATAATAGAAATGTTTCAGGTTAATTTGCAGTGTGACACCAGCGCTCAGTTCGCATTAAAAATTTCCAAAATACTTACATTTATGTGTAATTGTACATGCTCCATTCGAATCTGGCTTGATAAATTTGATAAAATCTGCCGTTTTGGACTTATTGACAGTAAAATTCCGGATTCATTCGAGTCGCAGTCAGCCATTACTGGCGTTGCTTGCATACATTCGACTGGAATTCGAACTCGACTCTCCGATTCATCAATCCGAGCCGCTATCCATTATTCCACTGTTAAATTAAGTAGACCACGTGACCGTAGAGGAAACATATATATGGGAGGTAGAGTGTGTCTAAATGTTCGCCATTTCTAGTCTATCCTCTATTACTAACGGATCGCTATTCTCTACTCTATTCACTATAATATTTCTCTATTCGGATCACTATACAGATTACTGTTCGAGCCAGTATTATTGAGCAAGTACTATTAGTACAAGTACTATTCGAAGGCGTCTGACACCAGTATTGTTCAGCAGTGTTACTATAGTTGTAATCTGCGATTACAAAGTCTCTACTACAAGGAGCATTACGAAAGTGACAACGAGTATTTGTTTGCATCACAAAAGTGTCAACGAGTGTTCGTTGACATCACAAAAGGAACCTGTCGACTAATTGATATGACCTGCTCACAGGATCCCAATATTTCTAGAAAAAGAAAATTATATAGACCTGCGAATCGAAGTGACAAAAATGTTAACACAACGATTATCCCTATTGTGATAGCGTCATTGGATATGATAAAGACCGTTACCGGAAATCATGTGAGTAAAATTCCTGGACACATCAGCGTCTCATAGCTATAAAAGATTACTTTGGGCGGAATTACACAGATCATCTTCAAAACCATCTCCATGTAAACGGAGCGCCCGAAATATGTATAGATAACACTGCTACAGTACCATTTTTACTCATAGACCTTGGAGGCGACTTGTTAATTAGGCAATTAAAATTACTCTCTGGCAAAATGATACAACATAACAATAATCCAACATTGAGAAAATAGGAATAAAATCTGGTATCCCATTACTTCAGAATGCCTCATCTGAAAAGTGACAATAAGACAGAGGAATAATAATAATAATAATAATAATAATAATAAAAGTAACAATTTTCTCGACTCCCACTAAAAAATGTACATCGTGTGTGTGTGCATGTATGTACAAATATAAGAATATAAATTTCTTACAATGGTACTTTATCATGCCAAGAAATTTTGGTAACCGGCCGTGACCAATTCTACCTTTCAAAGAATGTTCTCATACTTCCTCATCCTACATTCCATTCTTAAATCATGTTTATGTCTTTGAATTACTTTTTCCCCCTGTTTTTAACATCCTAAAGGCGCCATCATCTGAACGTGTGGGATCTAAAGTTTACGCCAGGAAAAATAAAAGAAAACAAAACAAAAAACAAAGGAAGGTTTTACCAACCACAGATGGATAGACAAGTTAATACCTACTAGGACACTTGAACCTGCATGTCTATTTTTTTTTTCTTTTTTTTAGTATCTTTTTTTTTTATTGCCCACACTTAATTCGCTGTGTGTTCATTGATATCTTCTTGTTTATTTTTTTACTGCCATAAATGTTCTTTTATTTTTATACTTATACCAGAAATCTTTCTTAAAAGATATCGTTTCTTCTTTTTTTTCATTTTTTCCTATTTAATTCACTAAGTCAGAATGTATGGTTATGAGCAAGAGAAAAAGCCAAAGACGTGAACTAACAATTTGAGATGTTAAACTCAAACAAGAAGAGAGGTTTAAATATCTGGTGAGCGTTTTAAGTGAGGATGGAAAATATGACACCGAAATCAGAACGCTCATTGAAATAGAAAAACAATACCTTCCAAAAATTAAGCAATGTATTCAGTATTTCGTTAGAAACAGTAAAAAAAGGCATATCACGATTAAAATACGAAAACAAAGTTTTGAGCTGTTTATGTGTTATCAAATTTTAAAATATAACAGCGAATGCTGGACAATT